CGTGTTTCCTTCTGGAGCATCAGTGAATGTTTGAACCTTTTTTAATAGTTGTGTCTGAGTCCCTCGGTTGTCCTCGGTGTGAAAAGATGGATCTCAAAATCATACAGTCACTGCTGGAAAGGGTTCAAATATGCAAAAGATGCTGGAAACCTGAAGAATCTGCAGGACATGGAGGATTTTTCTGAGGAACAGTGCTCAGTTTAACTGTTCAGAACAAACAAGGGACTCATGAACAACCATCACAAAACAGAAAAACAGTCGTGGATCATCCAGGTAACCACACACAGTATTAAGAACCAAGGGTTCCCAAACTTTTGAATTGGGTTATTTTAATAATTTCAGCTATTTTTTTGTCTTGTGGACTAAATGTAAACATCTTTTATGTAAAATATCTTACTCAGGACAGTACTAAATAAAACATAACATGCATTTTGTATGATCTCTCTTATTTTGTTAAAATTATTCACATTTTCACAGATTCTGCAAGGGGTTCCCAAACTTTCGCATGTCACTGTATATGTATGTATAAATACACACACATACATGTATATATTTAAGAAATGCATGTAATATATATTTATATAATATAGATCATATATATATATATGCATATACACGTAAATATTTCTAATCAAAAACGTATTTTGGATGCGATTAATCGATTTGACAGCACTAATTAAAACATTAAGAATATACATCATGTTTAGTTATTGCGTCAAAATGAACGTACAGGGAATTAATATTTGAAAAATCACAAAATAGCAATCGATTATTATTTGAACGGATTAAAAAAAATCAGATTTATTAAACTATATAAAAGCGTTCAATTGTTGAGTAGCTATGAGTTTAAAAGTAACGGTTTTTAGACACGTAATAGAAACTGAAATCATGGAAAAATACAAATTCTGTGGCGTCTGAGAACGGCCACAAATGCTGTCTAGGTAGTGTGCACGCTGGATTTGAGACGCAGCCCTTCTGTAGGACGCTCTCGTCACGTGACCAGGTTAGTTTACGAAATCAGCCAGATGCGCGATGATCTCCTCAAAATGATCGTGATCTGCTGGAAAAATCGGTCCGACACAAGCATGACGAGCAGACGACCCTCGGCGGTATGGCTCACTTAAACAAACTGTGTCTTTTAGAGCATTTACGCGTTTCTTGTTGGTGGGTGACACATTTATTGGCACGCGACAGCAGATCAGTGTGGAAGCGGACTGAGACAAAGGGAAAGGCTCTCATAGCTAGAATGCTTCGGGCCTAAAAGAAGCCAAGAGGTAAGTGGGCTATAAATCGGGCGATTACATAAGTGAAAAGATCCACGCTCACGCACATACAGTAACATTTGATGCTTTATTCATGAGATCAATTGTAACAAGTTGTTAACGAAGCAGACTAGCGTTGTTCCTCTTTCTACATGCGAGCTGTCCAATCCTGAACCCTCGCTCACATGCCATCGACTCGACAAAGCATTCTTAGAAACAACATTTTATTCTTTTTAAATCAATTTTAGGTCCGAATTCATCGTGTGGTCAGTTCGTGATTGCAAAAGACGATTCCCGTATATCTAGCGCTCTCGGATGCAGCGTTGCTCTTTGATGCCATTTTTGGCATGTTTATTACTAGAAATGGGCTTCTACGTCATTTAAGCTAATTCAACTTCGTTTACATTCAGTCGGCGGAGTTTTACCTTCTACACAGTCGCTAAATGCTAATAGATTGGTCACGTAAACGCACCTCATTGACTAGTTCAGTAGCTCTACTGGTTGATTATTATTATTAATATAAGTAGTATTATATTCTGTGAACTTTTGACCCCCGCACTGTATCTCATTACATTTTTTGACTGTGACGTTAGTGCTTCAACGACGTCACGGCGTTACAATGTTTCACCTTCAGCGGAAGTCGCTTGGCGTCACCGACTTGACAAAATGTAAACACGGTCCAAACGGTGGCTTTTAATACTGTCAGGATTGACATTTTATTAGATCGGCTATTA